GCGGGGAGGAGTGTAAAGCCTGGAGGGGAGGTGTGTAAAGCCTGGAGGGGAGGAGTGTAAAGCCTGGAGGGGAGGTGTGTAAAGCCTGGAGGGGAGGAGTGTAAAGCCTGGAGGGGAGGTGTGCAAAGCCTGGTGGGGAGGTGTGTAAAGACTGGAGGGGAGGAGTGTAAAGCCTGGAGGGGAGGTGTGTAAAGCCTGGAGGGGAGGAGTGTAAAGCCTGGAGGGGAGGTGTGCAAAGCCTGGCGGGGAGGTGTGTAAAGCCTGGCGGGGAGGTGTGTAAAGCCTGGAGGGGAGGTGTGTAAAGCCTGGAGGGGAGGTGTGTAAAGCCTGGCAGCCCACCACCCTTATAATTCGCTGAGGGAAACCCTGAAACCCAGGTTTCACGGTGGCTCTTCTCACCGAGCTGAGTGCTGCAGTAGTTGAGGGACCACCCGATTCGGACCACGTGGGGGTCGGGTTCGCTGCTGGGCAAGTGCTTCACGGGGATTTCTTCGTTTATCTGGAGGAGGAGACAAACGATGAGAAAGCTGCGACTCTGAGGACTTTCAGGAATACGAGGCAGATAAACATTGAACAAMGAAGCTTTAAACTCTTGTGTTCACTTTTACACGCTGATGTTCAAAGACACTGAAAAATACCTTCATCTCATAACAAACGCGACCCTGAGAGACGCCATGAGAGGCTCTCGCTCCAGCCCACAGGTAAGCGAAGCCTTCGATGGTCAGCGGGTAGCCGCTGTAACGATCTCTGGACACTTTGAAGTGCAGATCACAATTGTCTGGAGGACAAACAACAAGTCAAAAACAAGTGCTTCCTGCCTCTGCAGCTGTTTTAGCAGAGAAATACAAGCCTTACTCACACGTATCAATCGTTACCAGTGAGTCGTCTATGCTCTCCTCCTCGTCTTCAGCGGGAGGCTGAGGTGTTCGAGATCTGAAGGAAACAGAAAACAGAATGTGGCACAGGCCCGATGGAAAATATGGCTGTTTAAAGATGAATTTACCTCTTCTCGTCCCGGTGGGAGTGGTAGTTGTAGCCCCTGCTGTCCTCGTGTGGCCTCTTACGGCTCTGGTTTTTATCCTCCACCTTGACCTGCTCGGCCAGACCCGCGGCATCCGGCTGCTCGGTGCTTTCTCTGTTCTCTGGAGCCTCAAACTCGTCTTCGGTTTTCACTTCTGTTTTAATCTCTACAATATAAACAAAGAAAAACTACCATTAGAATCATAAAGGTTGATTATTTTTATAAACTCTTTAATAAGAATAATAAAAAAGGACTGTAAAGTACCCTGTATGGTGTTGGTCTCTGTCAGAATGGGCTTGGTCTCCGCCGCGAACAATCCGTCGGATTTTTGCAGATCGTCGTCTGCTGTGAAGTCGGGCATGCCGTGACCCGAGTCTGAGGTTTCCTGACTTTCGTAGGGCTCGCCTTCCGGCTCCTTTTCCTCAAAGTCACCGCCCGAATCTCTGCCTTCGTCTTCTTCTTCCTCCTCTCCTCCTTGAGGGGCCTCTCCATCACCGCCGTCCTCGTCTCCTACCTGAGCTGCTTTTGAACATAAACATTTCATTACAACATGTTTAACATAAATACTATAAAACATAATAAACGGATCGTTTGAATGAAATATAACCTTAAAGTCCCTTTCTGAACAGTAGCTATAATTAACATGATTCTGAGCAGAAAATCCTCACATTTGTCATTTTCCCTGCAAAGCTTTGTTTCTTCCCAGCTAGTAAATCTCAATATCTTTTTTTAGGCAGAAATAAATTGTTTATTTGACAACAGAAGAATAACACATTTTAGAAAAAATCTCACTAATGTCTTAAGTTACAAATAATTTTATTTTTTTGTTTCTCCTTTTTTTTCTCTGGAAAAAGCAGACAGATGTCGGGTGTGTGGCCTTGTGTTTTCTTGGTGTATGTTTCATATATTCTCTAAATC